CATCAGAGACTTTCATTTATTTTCTTCATATTGTGGCAAACAGACCATAGCGTTGCCTTGAATTTATCATTTATTATTTCTATCAGACCAAATCAAATCAAACACAACACACAGAGCTGCTCCCCATAAACTGAACACATTGTATGAAGACAATACTATATTTCACAGACAGTGTGAAGGCTATTTGCTCCTGTTTGTTTGTTTGTTTGTCTGTTGTTTACCAGGATATCTCAAAAACAACATAACACACTTCAATGACATTCGGTGCAAAGTTGGGCCATGAACAAGAGAACAAATGGTTTTTGATGGGAGAGCGTCCTAAAGGCCCTCGAAAGGAGCCCGAGCACCAAGGAGACAACTAAGAGATCAGAAACAAGATGGTGGACAATTAGCCGTGTTTTCTGCCACACATAGAGGTGCTGCACAATGCCTTCGTTACAAAAATACTAGTTGGTCTCAAATTGAATACACACTTTCTAGGATGCTTTTGAAGTACTTTCTTTTTGCAACAAGAAACCCAAACTCCTTATTGGATGACATCTTCATCATGAAGACATTCATTTATTAATAAGGTTGTTTGTAGACTCGTGTCCTGCCGTCAGACACAGACAGACCTAGAATATAAACACTGTAACAACGACTGATCAACATGAACGTAATACTGATGGAACGTCAAACACACAGAATGCACGTTTGGATGTCTTTTTGCCCAGTATTGTATGCAACCGTTTGCTTCCATTCCAAGTTTTCTGAAATGATGTTTAAATATGCAATGGAGGCATTATCTTATTAAATATTTGCTAATTTGCATAATTTCCACAACAGAAAATATGAACGAATAAAGCCAGGTTCAAAATTCTTGTTTCCTTTTGTTGTCAAAGGTTTTTAAAGAGAGGACTTTAGATATGTTTTCATCACTCCGTAAATACTGTCAACAGCCATAACTAAATCATTTTCCACATGTTTTAGTACTGAAATGTTGTATAAATGAGTCTGAATGATACATGAACGAACCCCTCAGTAGAAACCTTCAGACATAGAGAGGAATGAAAGTGTAAAGCTTGGAGTATGTAAGAGCTGCTGAAGTGGAGATTTCTGAGTCTGAGAAACAAACTCATTGAGAGAAAACGTACTTTAAAGAGACGTTTAGTAAACTACAGACATTTTGAAGACACTACAGGTGAATGCAGTAAATAACTAATATATATCACCATGAAACTTCCCCGGTTGATTACTTACATTAAGACGATAGTTTCTCTATTAAAAATGTTCTGACATGATTAAATATGCAAATGAGGCATTATCTAATGGCAACTTCTGGTGAAAATGAAGGAGAGCCAAATATATGGATCTTTAAAAAGAACTAATTAAAACAGAAAAACAATGAGCAGTTAAAAACCTGAACCGGGAGAAGCCCATGATTCCCCGTTTTAACTCCTGGCTGCAGAAAGTGACACACTGTGGTTAAGAGGTGCTTCATCGTTTGAACTGGCTCAATATCGTGTTTTTCCTGCAGATGAAACTATGACCATGTTTATAATTGAATAGTACTTCATGGTGTTGGGACTATAATATTATATAGTATTATTAAAGTAATGGTTTAGGATCTCTGGGCCTCACCGGTGCAACAATGTTAACATTGGTTCCTGAATATAACGACAGTAGATTCCGCTCCTTTCGGTCTGATCGGATTTATTAACTGGTATACAAACATCTTAAATAGTAACAGTGAAACAGGCAACACAAGGTTAGAAGAGTTAAAACACACAGAGAAGTAATGAACGATGAAGCCGTTCAGAAGCTAGCAGACATCTTGGTGACGTCTTGTTTCAGGTCCACGATGTGCGTCTGGATCCTCCGGTGCAGCTCGTCCATCGAGGCCGACAGCGTGTCGAACAGAGCCTGGACACAGAGAGGACCGGCGCATTAGTCTGAGAGCCGCCAGGGAAACACAGAACGGACCCGTGTGGACGCGTCGGAGGAGCACACACCTGAGCTTTGGCAGTCTCCTTGCTGCACACGTCCCTCAGGCTCTGGATCTTGGCCTTCAGCTGCTGCGTCTCTCTGGAGATCTCCTGGATCCTGTCGGCCATCTCTTCGCGTTTCTGGTGGATCTGGTTGCACTGCCTGGAGAACCATGCAGTGTTGGTTATTCAAAGCGTTCGGCTTTACAGAAACATTTATAACAACAACAATTATATTTATCATATTGACTAATATGTAAATTCCAGAGGAGCAACAGATCACAAAACTCAGGAGCAAAATTAAAGAAGAGAGCAAATGTAACTTTTAGAGATCCGATCATTGATAACGCCACCGTCCCAAAAATAATATCAACCGCTCTGAAGTCTGTAAACCATAAACATCCTCTAACTTTTGCATTTTAGCTTTAAAAACACAAAATTCAGATGATAAGGAAATAAAAGATTGTATTTCTATGAATTCAAAAAGTCTTCTCATTCGTAGTTTTAATGATGTATTATAATCTGTAAAGTTCTAAAAGTTCCTCACCAAAGCTATATTTTACAAGACTACATTTGAACCCATCATGGAAACTTTGTTCTTCACAGTGTAACATTATCAGAGACTAGAAAGCATTAATGCTGAACATAAGAGATACCGATGGTCAGTGAAACTGTGTTTGACACTGTGACGGTTAAACAGATAAACAGCGGTCCGTTACACCACTGGTACGTCCATTATGCTGTGAACATACCCCATGACGTCCTGAACATGCTGATCCTTCATCTCTCTCTTCTTCTGCCTGCGGATGTTCTGTTTGGACTCTTTGTCCAGCTTCATGGCCAGCGCTCTCCTCAGCTGGCCTTCCTCCACACACAGGTTCCTCAGCTCCTTCTGCTTCTTCTCATACTGAGCCGTCAGCTCCTGGTGCTGCACACACACACACACACACACACACACACACACACACACACACACACACACACACACACACACACACACACACACACACACACACACACACAGAGAAACTATGCTGATGCAGAGTTGCACAACGATGAGCTGTAAAGGAAGATCTAGCAGCACGTACTGCTAACATGAGGGGGCTTTGAGGGGGCCCTAAAGCATACCCTGCTTTATGGTCTGTTTGACTCTAAATGGACCATACTTTACTAAATGAACATCATGCTGTATTAAAGTAGACTTGAAACTAGAGATTGAGACCATAAACTCATGTTTACAATGTTTACTGAGGGAATAAATCAAGAGAGAAGTAGAGTCATTTTCTCATTGACTTCTATACAACCAGAGGAGTCGCCCCCTGCTGGACATTAGAGAGAATGCAGCTTTAAGACACTTGATCATTGGCTTTACTTTTCAGACCCCAGATAAGTACACACTATGAATAATAAATACTTCATATAAACCCACTTCAAAAATCCAAACTCTCCCTTTAAGGCAGAAGTTGTCAAACAGCAGGTCATGGGCTAATACTGGGCCTTTGGAACAGAATAATTAGCTGTATTTACATTAAACTTGGCACACTCTATGCAGTAGTATTCCTCATCACTCTCTGCTATCGCGTCCTTCACTACTAGCAACGAGTCGATTTGTATTGTATGTTCAGAAGGTTTGTGTTCATGTTGGATATGTCATGCTCTGGTGAAGTGGATGTGGACGGGCTCTGCTCGTACCTCCTCCGCTCTCTGCTTGGTGTTGTTCATGCTGCTCTCCAGGTCCTGCAGCAGGTTGAACATCTGCTGGATCTCGGCCTCGGTGTGAGTCACACTCTGCACCATGTTCTGCAGCTCCACCATGTGCTCGTCCGTCTCTTTCTGAAATCAAAGACAGGAAGTCTGCGTTTTAAAACAACGGCAGACTTTTGGAGACGACCCCGGTTTTTGTTCTTTCTTTATCTACTCACGGTGGAGTTCTTGATGTTCTTGACGTTCTCCCTCATCTTCTCCATCTGAGTCTTCAGCTCCTCTGGAGACTCCACGATCTGAGACGTGAGTTTGCCGATGTCCTCCTTCAGGTTGCAGACATCCACCTTCACCTGGGCCTAAGGCACACCAAACAGCACACAGCTCGTTTAAACCACTCCCTCAACTCTTACTGGACTCTGGGACGTCAGACCAAAGTACCACATGGTCGTGTTCACAGAGGACGTATATGGTCCGTATCAAACGTTCACGTACCAGTTTCTGAGTCTTCTCCGCAATTTTGGCTTTCCACTCTGCGATGCTTTCATTTTTTGCATCCTGAAAGGAGATTTTGTTTCACTTGAGAGCACACACACACACACGCACACGCACACGCACACACGCACACACACACACACACCATCACGTCTTATCATGTGACTGAGCATCATCACCACCTACCACTTCCTGGTATTCGTGGATGTTGGTGGCCTGCAGCTCAGAGAGCGCGGCTGCCAGCTCGTCGGCCTCGGCCTGCTGCTCTGGTGGGATGGTCCTGAACGAGGATGAGAGGCGGAGTGGACATGCAGCTCATTACATAATTATCCATAAAGTTATTAGTTTGTGATCTTGACATGACATTTGTTTTCAAATGTTCACCAAATAGATCATTCCATTATTTTGCAAAGAAATAAAAATAATCAGTCAGTTAATCTGTCCGTTATGTCCACTCAATTAAAGGGACGGTTCACCCCAAAATAAAAAATACTATATTTTACATTTGACAAACTCAACAGCAATGTCTCTTTGCGGAAATGATGACCCCTGCTTACTCAAGAGAACCCACAGATTTCATGTAGGAACTACTTTCTTTCAATCGAACTGCACCTGCCAACCGTATCACCGCGCAGGAGGAAGCTACCCGACACCGCTAGCTCACCTAGCACAACAGAGCTAGTTACACTGCAGCTACGCCGAGGAGGATCGATGTGAACATCTCAGAGAGAGAAAACAGCGGTGAGGTGGGGTGAACTGTCCCTTTAAGAAATGAATCTTTGGTCTATAACAGGCATGGGCAAACTACGGCCCGCGGGCCGGATACGGCCCGTTGGGCTTTTTAATCCGGCCCGTCAAATATTGGTACAAAATTCTCCAAACTATAATAAAGACTAGGGCTGGGCAGTATACCGGTTTTAATTTCCCGTATGATATGAATTCTTCACACACCATTATACCGGTGCATTGCCGAAACAACTGCTGTCTGCTTTCAACAGGCAGCTAAATGTATTTTTCGCCGCTTTTGCACAGCGGTCAGCGCTAGTTCTCTTATATGCATTGAGAGGGAACCCTATTCATGGTCATAACTTTATAACACAACAATTAACAACCCACAACTAACGCTCTTTAACAGAGAAAAACACAACAGCACACAACAGTCTGTAACACATAAACAATTTGTAACACTAATAATTGTACATTTATAAAATTTCACCGCCGAACTGCATGCTGGGTACAGCTCGCGTGCGAGCCTGCTCGCTAGCACAACAGTCTGCTAACAGCTGGGAGAGGCTCCGTCACTCTAGTTACGTTACATTAAAGAACAGAACAGAGCAATGCAGGATGAACAAAGACTGACCGGAGATGCACCGATAGAGTTTGACACATATGCAACGCTGATTACCGTGTAATATGTGTGGTATTTGTTATAAATGTACATTGGTGCAAAGAGGTGATAAGAAGCTGTACAGGGAGGGGCTTAGGGCCCAGGGGAATGTAGGTGAAGGAAACAGGAAGAGACGGAAGACACGCCACGCAAACAGCTGTTCACCGCTTGTCATGATCCTGCAGACCAGTGATTCTCAACTGGTGGTTCGTCGCGGACCCGTTTTCAGTGGGTCCCGGGACTTTGCTTTATGCAGCGGAGTTATTAACGCTCCTTTCCAGCATTTACGGCACTTGTTCAGCGGTGCAGGAAAAACACCGACCAATGCGTTGTAAATCACGTCACGTGATGCAGTTTAGCCAATAAATAAAGGTATTCCGATACGTTTCCTGACGCCAGTGAGATGTACCCACACCGTGACACAGGGGGAGAGACAAGGAAAGACATTACAGAGCAGAACTCTGATAATGTTAGATGTGACAGTCAAATATTTGTATGATCCGGTCAAAGAATCAAACAGCTAAAAAGACCACAGTTATTAACCTTTACACTAAAAATGCTGTGTCAAAAATGACCGCTTAATAAGTAAGTGCACGATAAAATATGCATTAATGCGCCAAAAAAATACCGTGTAAGATCCCAGCTAACTGATGTACACCTCAGATCTGTTCTGAGAATTGCCACAACCAAACTGACACCAAACATTGACGCACTGGTTAAAAAGGGTGACCAACAACACTGTTCCCACTGAAATTAAATGCAAGTTACTTTTTAGGTCATGGCTTTTACTTGTAATTCATATTAGTTCACACAAACACTCCATTCATCTGCTACTGGCCCGGCCCGTCTGTCAAATTTTAAAACTCAATGTGGCCCCCGAGCCAAAAAGTTTGCCCACCCCTGGTCTATAACCTGTAGATTAAACTCTCACAGAGCCCAGGGTGGCGTCTTCAAATGTGCTTGTTTCAGAAACATCACATTTTAAAAAGATATAATACAGCAACAAAAACACCAAACATTATATTAAAGAAGCTGGTCTCTCATGTCTACTTACGTGAGCGTCTCAATCTTCTTCTCTGCTTCTTTGTTGCCTTTGGTGTAAGCCTGCAGCCGGTCCATGTCTGCCCTCTGACAACAGGGAGAGGAGCTGTTACACACACTGAGACCAGCATCAGGTTTAAAACTGTATCATCTATAGAAACTCATCTCATGCTCTGAGATTATAAAGATATCAATTTGAAATAAAAGTATTTTTGTCAAGGAACCACGTCGCCACCGCTAAACACTGACGTACGTGAACCGCCGAGTGCAAAACACATTCATTACATTAATACGTATTCATAAGAGCACACAGAGAGAACATGAAAGAAACCGTATGTATGTATCTTTCAGGACCTTTGCCTCAGCTTTTAGCCTTCACCACTAACCCCCCCACCCATCGCTACACCTGCGTGGACCAACATCACATACAAACTTGGCCTGCTTCTCGAAGATGATGTCCATCCTCTGCTTCCTGAAGTGGAGGAAGTTCATGATGGCGCTCAGAATAGTCAGAGTCTTCTGTTTCTCTAGAAGAGGAAGAACAACACCAGTGATGTGCTTTCAGGAGGAAACTGTGGACGGATGGACCCGAAGAAAACATGTACTTACTTGGAGCTAGAAGGTCGTTCAGTGAAAAATCGTACACCAAGCACATCGGCAGAAACTGCTGCCTGTGAAAGGATCGCACACATGAAAACACAATGAAACCATAACTCAGAGCTGCAGCCTTCCAAGTGCTGCACTGAGAATAAGAAAAACATCCACGAGTTCTCTTCACTTGAGTCTGCTTGGCTTGTTTACATCCATCTAAACACAGTGTTTATTATCAGCAGTCCTTCATGGTGTGGTTGGTTCATATTGTGTTATATATCTAGGAGAGGAAGTTGGAACACTCACATGCGTATGTAGACGCTGGTGATAGCAGTGGTCCCCTCATGATATACCGGGTTCTGAATGTTCTCCAGAAGTGGAACCTGTGGGGGGGGGGGGGGGGAATTGAGCTCTTAAACATGGGAAAGAAAAGATTCTGTTCATCAGACGGCTCAGTGTGACCCCGGTACTCACCATGGAGTGACACTCGGGTCTGAAGCGATACAGGAGATGCAACACCCTCATGTAGAGCGTCTGAACCGCCTCCGGCTGGAAGAGAGAAGCGAGCGCCACGTTAACCACGTGTGGTGTATCTGACCAGAGATGGTGGAAACTGATTGGAAACTGAATATTTTGGGGGTTTTGGATCGTGGATCGTATTAAAACCAGAAGCTGGTACCTCACGTTGGGCATCGGGAAATCACAGCTGGCAACTTTAATAACTTTCAGACATGTTATAGACAAGAGAGCTCCAATTCATCAAGAAAATAATGATCAGATTAATCAATAATGTAAATAATCTTTAAGATCCAGAAGGTGTTATTTTACTTTCATATGATAAGAAAAGCAGTAAACCCTCACAATAGAGCCGCTGGATTTTCATTGTCTTTTACTCATTTTAAACTATGAATGGATTATCAAAATCATTCATATTCTGTAGATTGACTGTTTGTTGCTGCTCTTGTCTCTTTGTCAGATCCAGTGGATATCTTCCACATCTGGACTTCTTGGTACAAACCTGGACCGTGATTTTCTTGCAACATGCTCACATAAATATGAGCATGTTGTATTACGTGTCTACAGACTGCTTTGGCTCAGTTTTCACAACACTTTCAATATGAAAACTTGTAATATGAATGGCTGAACTAGCTTGCAGAACAAAAAATGCTGCTTGTTCATACAAAGCACAAAACATTAAATGACACAGAGCAGAGATGTTAAATAAACTCATCATTACTAATAACTGAACTTCAATAGTTTTCTTTTGTTTACCATCACTGTTCTTGGTACTGTAGTGACTGGGGTTTACTGTGTCATGCTTTCATAACTTACAGTATAAATGCACTGTACTTTGTGTGGTTTACTGATGAAAACCTATCTTTGAGAAAAAGTACCTGTGTTTTCAAGATAATTGGTTATTGTTTGAAATCATTTAACAGGTAATGGCCATCTAACTTTACAACAATGATGAACATACTGTAGCGCTACAATGTTGTGGTGTGATGCTCATATTAAAAAAAAAAAAAAAAAAACTCAATTCAGTTTCTTGCACCATTTGCGTTATAATATATATCTGAGTCCGTTTTATATAACGCTACTTTCTCACGAACCGTGCACAGCTGCTCATTACGTCGCTGTTATCAGACGGTTCTCTTCTGATCTCATGGACCGTAGCGGCGGTGAGCGGACGTTACCTTTGGAGCTGGAGTCAGGTCGCCCTTCGTGAAGTGTTTCGCCTCTTGACCTGTGAGAACTTCAGTTCGGTAAAAATTCACTATCGCATCCGCATTATAGACAGGGAAGGTGTTATCAGACATAGTGGCGGTTTCAGTGCGAGCTAAACACCGAAAAAAACACAGAGGAACTTTTCAGCGGCGACACAAAATTGGCGCCTTAAAAATGACTTCCTTGTTGATTTCTACACGGCGAATCTGATTGGTCATTTCATACTTCTTCTGTTACGAGGGAGATTATACATGACTCACCAGCGCCCTCTGCCGCACTACCCGTGTACAACTCTTGAACTGTCCCCACCTTAACTTTAACCTCATTGCTGTTGACAGGATTGAATTAAATGTGTAATGTTTGGGTGTCTTGCTGAGCACATTCCGTTATAATTTAAGAACAAATTTAAGAAGTGCACAATAATAAATAGTATAAAGCCAAAATATAAAACAGCGGCTATTTTACAGTTATGCAAATAACAAATGCAATGGTACAAGTATAATCTATTCTTAATGCAGTTTGTAGGATTGTGACTAGAGGGATATAATTATTTAGTTATTTGAAACCTTTTTGTATTAATATATTATATTGTTGCGGCGGGTAATAACAAAATTCCTTTCAAGAAAATGTTGGAATATAAAAAGTTTTTTTAACTTCTGTTAGCTGCTCTACAGGTTGTATTTCATCCTCCTGGTCGACACTCCGAACCAGCAGGGGCGCTGATGTGACACCGCGATTGTTACATTTGCACGTGACAAAACACGGAACTCACTGCTGTGTTCCTGGATGCTGAGGTTTCACATTTTTAAAGTCAAAGCTTACTGTATGCAAATGACTTTGGAAAGAGTTATTGACCGGATAGTTTGTACGTCGCGAAGGTTTGGGATCTGAGCGAAGAATGGCGGAGAACTGGGCCGAGAGGATCTCTGCTTTCTCCCACAGTCCGTCTCGCTTCCTCTCCGGGACGACAGCCGAGGCTTTCCTCGCAGAGCTGCTCCGCGAGCTCCGAGATGACAGAGCCAGTTACTGTGTCAAGGTAACAAACAATATAAAGTGAAATGTACACGAAGTTAAACCCCCGTGCTTCATCACTGTGTTGCCGCCGTTAGAGTCACGAGCAGAGCTCATATTAACGTTGTACGACGTGGGTGCAGCAGCCAACACTTCATTGACAGATTTTTAAACGGAGTTTGGCATGTGTCCAGTCTCAACACAATGCTAAACGATGTCGTTTTTTGAGCATATTATTTATATAATATATATGGTTTTCTTGTTACTCTATGTTCATAAACGGAATATATTTGGACGGTTTGGTCGGACAAAATAAACAATTTGAAGATGTGGGCGTTTTCACAGTTTTTTTAAAATTACTACTATAAATTGAGTACTTGACAGCTGTGACACATGTGAACACTAATTACCTGTATTATCTGTGGTGTTTTTCTTTTTCCTGTTGAATGATTAATGTAATCCTTGCTGTCCACAATTCTTACATTTCATCCATCCTCAGGTCCTCCTGTTGTCCCCGCTGTGTGAGCACCCGACTCTGCTGTGTCCCTCGGACTCTGTGGGCGAGGAGACGGCCCTGGAGCTTATGTCGGTGTTGGACCAGTGTCCTCCCAAGTCCGTCCAGTTCCGCTGTCACCTCCTCCTGGCCCTCACCGCCGTGCTGGTCTGCACCTCCTGCGTGAGCCTCCGCTCCCGTGCGTTCCAGGACTTCCTGGACCTGCTCCTTCAGATGGCCCAGGACACCGGGGACCTCCAAGGGGACGGCGCTCTTCGCTCTCTCCGGGCCACAGCTTGCAACTGCCTGCGGGAGCTGGAGGCCTGCTCTCCGGGCCTTCTCTCCCAGCGCCTCGAGCTCTTGGGTGGGCTCCGGCAGCGAGAGACCTCCCGGCTCCACCAGGCCTACGCGGGACTCCACGCTCTGGTGTTGAGGAACGCCGTGTATCGGCTCACCCAGGACGCGGGAGCTAGTGCCGAGCACCTCAAGGCTCTCCTGGGAGGACACACATCAGTGGCGTGGGAGGCAGAGCTGGACTCGGGCCCGATGAGCGACAAAGACTCCTCAGCCATACTGTCGTCTCTTGTCCTGGGACCAATGGGCACCGTGCCGACCCTCCAGACCGGGCCCGACTGTAAGGAGCTGCGTTCGGTCCTGTCCTCCCTCCTGGAGGAGTCCTACCTCCTCACTCCTCTGTGCCAGGCTGCACTGCTGCACAGACTGACGGAGGTGGTTGCCATGGTGCCTGGTGTCCCTCCGGCCGTATTCAGAGCTCAGCTGCTGCGACTGCTGGGCACGAGCGAGGTTTGTGTCAAATGGACCGAACTAGTCTCCTACGTGTTTCACTCACCTGTTGATGTTTACCAGCAGTTTCTGTTTTAATTCAAAACAAAAACACTTATTTCAGGTATTTAGATTTCTTTCTCCTACCTACTGCAATGGTTACTCCAGATAATCCACAGTACACACTGTCAACAGTTCTCAGAGGGACTATTTCTTCAGTAGAAAGTAGTTCCACTGAAAACTGTCCACAGTGAGCTCTGTGGATTATCCTAAGTAACCATAACATCGCCCAAGACAAACCAAGACGCATTGCTGGTGATTTGTTTACTGTTAATTTAAGTGTTTTTTTTGTTTTTTTAACTTAACTTACAAAATACATAATTTTTTATCCATTTGGGTGAACTGCCCCTGTCACCTACAATTTAAAAAAAACAAAAACATTAACTGATTCATATTGTCTGCTAAAATGGTGTATTGTCTGTCTAATTTATAGAAGACAATGTCCCTGTGGTTGCTTCACAATAAAAGCCACCTTTCATTTTGCCAGTTGAAGGCTTTTAATTTGAAGCACGTTGCTGTAGGAGATGTGGGGTTTGCAGTAGCGGTACTCTGATCCAGCTGTAGCCTGTAAGCAGGATGGGGTCTGTTAATGAGGTGATAAATACTAATGCTGGGATATACGCGTGTATTTCTCTATGTATATTTTTAATTATCCAAAAGAAAGTCTCCACATAAGCAGCTTTCGGTTGACCTCCACAGTAACTCTTTGTTCCCCTCCTTCCAGGTGTGCCTCCTTCACAGCACGCTGCTGTTGAAGTCTGCGTTCACTGACAGCCTGTTCAGCGCTGAGGACGAAGCTTTCATCCTCCAGCGGCTGGTCGTGCTCTCCCAGCACCCGCTGCTGAGTGTGCCCGAGAAGCTCTTCTACACGGACTGCCTCCTGCACTTCCCCGAGAACCGGCCCATCGGCTGCGGTGGCGACGGCGACGAAAGCCTCCCCGTGCTGCTGACCCCGCGGCTGGCCTCGGCCCTGGCGCCCACCGTGTTCAACGACAGTGCCACAGGGCTGGCCCGCTTCAACCTGCTGTCTCTGGTCTACCTGGAGGAGGCGGAGGAGGGGGAGGAGAGCGGGGGGCTGGCCTACCTCTACCAGCACCTCACCGCGCTGCTGCGCGTCGTGGCCAACGGGGGCAGCCGGCAGGTCGTCGTCACCTTCTTCAGAGCCGCCTTCCTCTTCCTGTCCTACTTCTGCCATGTGGAGCGCTACTGTCGCAGCCTGACGGAGGAGCTGTGCGAGCTCTACCTCCGCCACACCCACCTGGCCCCGCACGTCATCAACCTGGCCGACCAGGTCCAGGACAAGCTCGCAGAGTCCGACTGGGCGGTGGGGATCTTGAGGGCCCTCCAGGGGGTCATCGCCGAAGCCCCGCCCACTCGTCTCACCTTGCGGGACCTGAGCTGGCACCTCAAGACTCTGGCCCGCGTGGCGGAGGAGGGAGAGATCCCCCAGCACAGCACCGTCCGCTTCCTGTCCAGTGTCACCGCTCCGTCTACCTCCTCTCCGTGCGCCAGCGGCGACTGGCGCCTGGGGAACGGCCTGCTGGGGGTTTGCCGCCGCCTCCTCGTCCACCCCAGCCTGGACTCGCTGCTCATCCCTCTGGCCGACGTCCTGCAGCATCTCACCCGCCGCTATGGCGACACGGACATCCGGGACCACGCCCGCCTCTACTACACCCTCCTGACCACTCTGTCCCGGGAGAAGCTGGCCGGGGTTCTGGCGCAGGGTTCCGCCGAGGGAGGGCGGCAGGTCAAGAAGCGATCGCTGTCCTGCATCATGGCAGAGAGCGAGGGCTTGGCGAGCGCGCTGACCATCCACCAGACGGAGAAGTTGATATTCCGGCTGATCGAGGCCCGTTCTGAGCCTCAGGGAGAAACACAAACTGACGAAGTGAGCGACCTAAACCTGAATGAGACTTTCCCGGCAGAGGCGAACGCAGCTCTGGAAGAATACAGAGCTCAGTTCGACGTCCCCGGCTTCGCCTCAGAAGTCACCCTAAACTACCAGCTGACTCACATCGACGGCGACTCCCGCTTCGATCAGCTCTTCAGCATCCGCCTCCACTTCAGCCTCACGGACGACCACTACGAGGAGCTGGGCGACATCAGCGTCCCGCGTCTGCTCAGAGGCAGGCCGTCGCCCGAGGTCCGGCTGACACTGAAGCCCAGGTGGCCCTACCCCACGACTCTCCACACCAGCGCTGTCTTCACCACACAGGACGGCCTCTCCTGGTTCACCGTCCTGCCGCACATCCACGTGGCCTTCTGGCAGGCCTTCGCGCCTCTTCCCGCTCCCCCGGGCTGGGGGCGCGGCGGCAGACTGGGCCTGTTCCAGGGTCTGTGGGATGAAATGAGCGCAGAGGAACAGGATGACTGTGCTACCAGCCTGTTGTGCTGCCAGCTGAAGGAGGTGGCTCTCACCGCCTTGGTGGAGAAACACTTCCTCCCGTACCTCATATCAGACCTGACCGACGCAGACGAGTTCAAAGTGCTGTTCTTCCTCCCGCCGCGGTCTCACGTGCTGCTGAAGATCAGACCGGGGGACCCCGTGCACTTCAACGTCGCCACAGATAACTGGCAGCTTCTGCGTCACCTAAACTCTTATCTCCTGACAATCACGAAACAGACCGGACCAGACCAGGAACAGACCGGACTGTGATGCAGCCGACTCGCTCACCTTTTAAAAAATAAATTATTTTAAAAGCACATTTTTAAATAACAAAATCATTAACTTTTTTGTCACACTTTATTAACTTCAATTGCACTTGAAATTAAATTGCTCAAAATAAAGTTATTGCATTTTAATTGTCTTGACCCAAAATTAAACAAATGTGTGAAATATGTTAAGTCAGAAGAAGCTCATTGGTTGCAGACAAAAGACTTAATTGATTTTCTTTCATCATACACACGACTCACTTCCTGCGGTTGGGTTCACGCTGTTCTGCTGGTCTACAGTTGTTGGTGGTAACATGAAGCACAGAGATGTAAACAATGAACAATTCATTTAAAGAGCAAACACAGCTGAGCTGTACATGCTTTTATCATGTTGGTTGAGCATCCTCAGCGTTCTGGTGACGAACACTGAATTTAAACTCCACAGTGCAGCTTTACATGACATGTTTGTTAGACAACCAATAAACGACGCTAAACGGTTTCAAATCTTTATTATTTCTTCATTAGTGTCCATGCACAGGCCTGCCAGCGTAGCTCCATTTAGTATTTATATTTATAGAGAACGAACCCTGAAGTTGAGACAATGCATTCAACTTCACCAATCACTGTGTATAAAAATGTAAACTTGTAGTAATACATTGCACACTGTGTGACAGTACAGACATCTGGTCAGTTTAGAATTTTGGGGTGTTTTGCTTCCATCACGTCTTCTTTCAGACTCGTGGAAAGAAAACGCATGAAAGTGTTTTTATTTTACTTTATTTGCATCTGTAGATTTTTCCTAAATGAACTGAAAGTTATCAGATAATGCCTCATCGTCATAAAATCTCACAAAACAAAAATCAATCTTAATGAAAGTAATCAACTGTGGAGGTTCCATGATATGTTAGTTCAATGTTTAACCATATTCACCAATAGTAAAATGTCTGTAAGTTTACAAAACATCTTTAAAGGCGGTTTCCTCAAAATTATTTTTTCCTCAGACTCAGAGCCAAACACCAAACTTTACACTTTCATTCCTCTCCATGTTCTGAGCCTGAATTACACATTTATTACTAAAAATGTTTTTTGAATGTCTGTTGAGTATTTTCTGATTCATGGAGTGATACAGGAGAGATGTAGAGAAGTCCCTTCATAAAAACCTTTGACTCAAACAGGAATTTTGGAACTGTCTTTATCCAATGTTCACATTTCTGTTCTGTAAAAGTATGCAAATTAGCAAATTTTTAATTAGATAATGCTCTATTTGCATATTTAAAGATACAATTTCAGACAGCTTGTAATACAACAAATGTCAGCAACCAACTGATGACATCATCAGTTCAGATGTTACCCTATTCACCTGTAGCGTCTCTCCTTGAGTCAGTGTATGAAAGTGACCAACACACTAACAGCTGCTTTGAGATCAGCGATCCATGTACGGATTTCTGTCCATTAAGACTGCAGTTTAAAACCCCCGTCCTTCAGGCGCTCCCGTCTGGCCGTGCTTCACTCGGAGAGGCCCCTGAAGTTGGGTTCTGTGTACGGCGGCAGGGCCGTCTGCTGGCGGAGAAGTTTGTCCATGATGGCGATCTCGGCGTCCCTCTTCTCCACCTGGTCCACGGGGGTCCAGGACATGTCGTGTTGGAGTTTGAACGCGCCGACGAATGTGTGCGGGCAGCTGGGACCCCATTCCTTCAGAGGGGAGGACGAAGACAGTGGGCAAAGGTGAGATGTGCAGACATTAGTCAGAAGTCAAAGACTCAAAAAACAATTATCTAGTTCCAACTTCAGAATTTTTGGGATTTGTTTTGGTCTTAAGTCAAAGTAAAATGATAAATTTGGAGTTTTAGACTGTTGCTCATGGAAAACAAGTTATTTGGTCTCACCGCAGCCATTTTTCCACTAGTTTCTGATATTTTTTATTACTAATCAAGAAAAGTTAACGGCAGAATTGATGAAAACAATCACGAAAGAATATGTAGTTGAAACCCATATGTTTTTTGTGTTTCCAACTTACAAAAAGGTTTCAAAGGATCTGTTTTACTGTCAAAGTTCTCCAGCTTTCCACAAATTCCACGACGACAAACAAGCACGGACGAAACTATAACCCGTCAAATCCAAACTAACCCGCCTGTGTCTCTGTCCACCTGCTCACTATCAGCCCCCCTCTTAGTGACGTGACCTTTGGACACCAGATACATCTAACACACACACACACACACACACACACACACACACACACACACACACACGTGTTTTGGTTGGGTATTCACGTGCTGCTGGGGGAACTCTCCCTGAGGGGACGTTAAGCAACAGGCTCTGTGCTGACATGTCGTAACACTCTGCGTCCACGTGTGGGGACATACCATTAAAGGCAGCTTATCAACATGTGTTGGGTTGCTGTATGTATCGGTAGAATGCCGACCTTAGGGGAGATGATGGAGAAGTACTTCTGTCCAGATGGCCGCTGGTAGAGGTAATACATGTTGCCTGCTTTTTTCACAATGTTACAGGCAGCGTGGTGGAGGTCGGCATCTCTTTTAGCTTCTTCTAAAACCTGGAAAGAGAGAAAAGATAAGAGCACTGGACCGAAAGCACGTCTCTTGTCTCATAATCAAATACATTTTTCCCATTTATCTATTTTATTGTTCATGTTGGAGTGCCAAGGCACAGCAAATATATGGTACCAGATAAAGCTAAAATCTCACCTTCATCTGTAGTCCGTTTTCTTGTTAAAATGTGCATTAATATCAGGAAGGAAACTTGCTCAACGGATCACAATCCACAAGAATCCATATTGGATTGTTTGAAAACTTGCCACAGTTTACACGTCCTGGCACGATCAGCCACAAACTAGCTACAGTGGCATTAAAAGAAGTAGTAACTGCAGCATTTCTATTTTACTGACGCATTCATAACACCAGCCCATTCATTGTGTGCACTCGTGTTTTTGCTGCTCACCTTCCTCGCCTGTTCCTGCAAGTATCTGATCTGGTCAGCAATGACCATCAGTTTGCTGCAAGCGTTGGCTTTAGTGAAATCATCTCCCTACAAAAACAAAAACAAAAAACATTAGTACCTCACTAACAGTTAGGGCCGTGTATAACTGGAAAGTTTGGACGTTTATTTTGTCCATACCCTCTGTACTTGTGTTGCCAGGGCCACGAGGTCCGTGGGGTCTCCTACTCTGTTGGTCTGATAGGAACTGACCAGTTGCACCCCGCTGGGGTTGCTGCTGCTCTCAACCAGAGTCACTGTAAAAAACAACGCACACACACACACATGTCACTACTGTAGCTGCTACTGTACCATCACAACAGCTGCTACTACGATTACAAACGATTAAGCTAAACAAATATAACCGCATTCTCAATGACAATGAAGCTTTGTGAGACTCCGTAAAAACTATTTCGAGAGTGCTCTGAACGGTGGGAAGGTTTGACATCAGGTTTAACGTTACAGCAAGACACTCAGTTTCTGTTACCCGTGGTGGTTTTGTCGGGCTGGTTGGGAAGGCTGGCCGTCCTCTCCATGTTGTCTTCTGTCAGTTTTTACTACGAACACGTCTCTCGGGTGATACTTATCATATATAACCTACCGGTCCAACTACTGGTTTTGTAACCAGCTAATATTTGACCAGAAATGCTATGCAAAATACCGGCAGTTTCACGGGGTCCTAAATCTCCGCCTCATTTTGCCCAAATGGTAGTCCTAATTTGTGCCTGTGAAAAATACATGAAATAAAAAACTTTATCGGGTCTTTTTTGATTATAATAAATTCACGTTTTCAACGTGCAGCTTCCATTCCCAATTCCATCCCAATAAAAACAAATCCTGTAGTATATTTCATATTATATGGCCATTATTACTTGGATGGGGTTTCGGGCGTATGAAAACAAGCCCAGTCTCGCTACAGAACATTTAAAAAAGGGAAGATTTGTCACTGTTGAGAAATCAAAAAAGAAAAGTCGCGATATCGCGCGTAACAGTTGTTGGGATACATGTGTCACATCAACAGCTTAACACTGCATTAAACCACAGAGGCATCGGATATACTCACGGGTGTTCTGATGTACTAGACTTGTAATAGTCTTGACTTGGGGTTTCTTGCCATTTCCTGGCATGGTTTCCCCCATGATCCATTGCGGTCACACTTACACAAGTTTTGCTTTTGACAATATACAGTCAATGGGTGGTGTTTTAAATTGTGCTGATTTTACAAGATCAATGTCAACTTTTTCATTAGCTCAGAAAGACAGTCCTGTTTTCACCTTTGTGACAATTTGATCTCACAGGTAACTAGTAACTACACTATTGTACTACTAATATTGTACTTTTTACTCCGCTACATATGCTTCTGATATGTAATGGGTTAGAAGTAACAGACAATGGAAATACTCAAGTTAACAACAGGTACCTCAAATGTATACTTAAGTAGATTAGAGTAAATGTACTTAGTTACCACTACTGGTCTGTGTATAAATTGCTCCGATGTATTGAGAAAATGCATCTGCAGGTTTCCTGTGATAAGAAAATGTCTTATAACATTAATTTTCTTAATAACAAAACACTTCTATTTTTAGCAATGATATTACATACCTGCTTATTTCATCATAACAAAAGAAGTAACTATTTATAACGTATCTAATAAAAAACAATACAACCTTTTCTTGTTAGATCAATGTTATGTTACGATAACACGTTTTCATATGCTGTTTTGAAATAAGATTTCTTTGTAAAGTAAATTCTGACCAGGTCTGATGAGTATGACATTTTGATGAATTTTCTTTTACATGTTAATAGGTTACATATTATATAGCTTTTTACTTGTGGCTTGTTTATGCTCCACAGAACAATAAAATATCGTTTTAATAACAAGATCTGCTTGTCTATATTATAACAACGGCTTCTTCTTTCACCAAAATTACGCAAAGTCAATGTGTTTTAATACTGTGAAAAATATAATTAAATGAGAATATCACGTTCATACGGTGTCAAATGTGCTCTTTTGTTTTCTCCGGCTGCTTTTGCAGATTTTGCCCATTTCAGAACAAGAAGTGAAATGTATTGCTCTTATTTTTACTTTTTTTAGCTGATATAAACATTTTACACAATTCTACTATATGCTCTGTATATAAGAAGTATTTTACACTTAAGTCAGTACTAACTTGCATTTTCCCCCAGTAGTGACGCTCTATATTACATTATTATAACTACGTGTGTGTGTGTGTGTGTGTGTTTGTGTGTGTGTGCGAGTGTGTGTGTGTGTAGGGGGCTCAACTGTGCTAAAGCCCCGCCTCCAAACAAGTCCCTGCCGGAGAGCGAAGTTAACACCTCTTCTCTCTGACCGGCTTCTAGTCTCCTGGATCGGGCTGCAGAGCCCAGACACTTTTAGCACCATGGAGCTCCGTTATGCGCTGCTATTTGTCTGCCTCACTGCTCCACTGTGCGCTTCGCACATTCTGGAGCCCTACGACTTCCTCTTCGACACGGCGGTGGAAGCCTACTACAAGGGGGACTGGCTGACTGTGATCCTGAACATGGAGAAGGCGCTCATGAACAAAGCTACGGTCCGCAGCGTGAAGGCTCAGTGCCGGCTGAGCTGCGCTAACCAGACCGCCTTCGGCGACCGCCTGTCCGGCGTGGAAGTCGCCGTGCCGGGCGCCGGCTCCGTGGAGGACCTGGGCTTCTTCCAGAAAGTCCTCAAAAGGGCGGACTGCGTGAACTCCTGCGAGACTGACAAACTGGGTACCCCGACTATGCATGAGGTCACCGAAGAACTGGAGCTGGAGTTCAGGAAGAGGACCCCGTATAATTACCTGCAAGTCGCATATTTTAAGGTATACAAGTTAGCTAAGTGATGCAGCTATTGAGCTCCAGTCAGGGCTGTCCCGTTGTAAAAACGCATCACGCATTGCAGACATGTTTTCCAGTGTAAGTTAAAAAAAAAAAGCCCCAACCCCCCCAAAACCGAGAGAAACCGTGCCACGTCTTAAGGTGGAGTCAGCTTCTGTGGAGTCTTTGCCGTTGAGAGTTTTTGGGATCCAGCTGTTTAAAGGCCTAACGTGCTGCTTTCAAATGCTACTTACAAACACAAACTGGCCAAAAGACGAGGTGGTAAATGATGCCGCTTTGGCACGTCGGAGTACCTTTAGATGCAAAGTGAGATGGACAAACATAGAAAGCATAGAAAGTCTTAAAACTGAGATTGAAATGTAGCGCTTAACAAATAAAAGTTGTGAATCAGTATGGCCCAAAAAAAAAAAAAATGCTTTAAAGTGGTTTCCCGTCATTTTTGTACGATATTGTTATTTTTTTCTTCACATTCAGTTTTCTTGGATTGCGTTTAATCGAAAAATACTACCCTCAGACGGAACTTGAAAGCAGCACCGTAATGTAAAAGGTTGTTGCAGAATTTTTAGTTGTCACTGAAATATGTGGGAGTGGGAGAAAATTATTCAAATATAATTACAGCGTATTGCTATAATATTTCTTAACATAAATGAGCCTACAATGCATTATTCAGCAAAAAATAAAAAATCACAAAACTCAACCTTCAAAACCAAACTGATTGCTGGGGTTTCAGACTTTCACAACTTTGATAATTACATGGTTGGGAGCCAAAAGTTCCGTTTGAGCCAGTGGTTTTGAGCTGAAAATGATACTTCATTGTTTATTTTAAATACAGGCTACTGAGAGGTGTGGGGGGTGTTGATGTGGATTATGTAGAAGGCAATAAATATGGGAGTAAGATAATAATGATAGACTTCAGTATTGCGATACTTGTGACACAGTATCGATTCTCAAATACACTATCGGTCTTGGATAAATAGTTTACATCCTAAGATGCGTGGCAGACAGTGGTTCATTTTGTGTTGCGTTCAAACACCTGGCCGCTAGATAACAGTGTTGTCATCTATTTTCAGCCGTAGAGAATGAAGGCTTCCGTAGTGTGGTGAATGGAGCCGTGTCTTTATACTATGCCATGATACAATGATAGTGAGATTTTAAAACATCGCGATGTACAGTTGTGTGAAAAAGTGTTTGCCCCCTTCATGAGTTCTTATTTTTTTGCATGTTTGTCACACTTAAATGTTTCAGATCATCAAACAAATTTAAATATTAGACAAAGATAACACAAGTAAACACAAAATGCAGTTTTTAAATGAAGGTTTTTATTATTAAGGGGGAAAAAAATCCAAACCTACATGGCCCTGTGTGAAAAAGTGATTCCCCCCCCCCTGTTAAAACATAAATTAACTGTGGTTTATCACATCTTTGGAAAGCTGAGTTCAATTTCTCTAGCCACACCCAGGCCTGATTACTGCCACATCTGTTCTCAATCAAGAAATCACTTAAATAGGACCTGCCTGACAAAGTGAGGTAGACCAAAAGATCCTCAAAAGCTAGACGTCATGCTGCAATCCAAAGAAATTCAGGAACAAATGAGAAACAAAGTAATTGAGATCTATCAGTCTGGAAAAGGTTACAAAGCCATTCCTAAAGCTTTGGGACTCCAGCGAACCACAGTGAGAGCCATTATCCACAAATGGCGAAAACATGGAACAGTGGTGAACCTTCCCAGGAGTGGCCAGCCGACCAAAATTACCCCAAGAGCGCAGCGACGACTCATCCAAGAGGTCACAAAAGACCCCAGAACAACATCCAAAGAACTGCAGGCCTCACTTGCCTCAATTAAGATCAGTGTTCATGACTCCACCATAAGAAAGAGACTGGGCAAAAATGGCCTGCATGGCAGAGTTCCAAGATGAAAACCACTGCTGAGCAAAAAGAACATAAAGGCTCGTCTCAGTTTTGCCAGAAAACATCTTGATGATCCCCAAGACTTTTGGGAAAATACTCTGTGGACTGACGAGACAAAAGTTGAACTTTTTGGAATGTGTATTTCCCATTACATCTGGCGTAAAAGTAACACGGCATTTCAGAAAAGGAACATCATACCAACAGTAAAATATGGTGGTGGTAGTGTGATGGTCTGGGGCTGTTTTGCTGCTTCAGGACCTGGAAGACTTGCTGTGGTAAATGGAACCATGAATTCTGCTGTCTACCAAAAAATCCTGAAGGAGAATGTCCGGCCATTTGTTCGTGACCTCAAGCTGAAGCGCACTTGGGTTCTGCAGCAGGACAATGATCCAAAACACACCAGCAAGTCCACCTCTGAATGGCTTAAGAAAAACAAAATGAAGACTTTGGAGTGGCCTAGTCAAAGTCCCGACCTGAATCTGATTGAGATGCTGTGGCATGACCTTAAAAAGGCGGTTCATGCTCGAAAACCCTCCAATGTGGCTGAATTACAACAATTCTGCAAAGATGAGTGGGCCAAAATTCCTCTACAGCGCTGTAAAAGACCCATTGCCAGTTATCGCAAACGCTTGATTGCAGTTGTTGCTGCTAAGGGTGGCCCAACCAGTTATTAGGTTTAGGGGGCAATCACTTTTTCACACAGGGCCATGTAGGTTTGGATTTTTTTCCCCCCTTAATAATAAAAACCTTCATTTAAAAACTGTATTTTGTGTTTACTTGTGTTATCTTTGTCTAATATTTAAATTTGTTTGATGATCTGAAACATTTAAGTGTGACAAACGTGCAAAAAAATAAGAAATCAGGAAGGGGGCAAACACTTTTTCACACAACTGTATATCGCCTCGCTGACAGTATCG